TGTAAGAAGGCATCGAGTGGATGTTATGTCAGCTTACTTCATGTATTTGACATATTAAATAGATTTTTGTCTTCTTTTAGCTCAGGAACTATTATTTTCCATGTGGTCAGTTACCATACATATTAGTCCATATAATGCCGTAATTTCTTGTTTTTTGAGCTCTTAATGCTTTATTATAGTATTTGGAGAAGACGTGGGTTTGATTTACAAGTGTTATGTTGTTCTTTCTTGTAAAGTAATAAATAATATGGGTAGAGATTAGCCATTTTTTTCCTCCTCTTTTGGACATATTAATACTGTGCTACTTCTACTTCCCTCATGATCATTATCTAAGCATTGATAGAAGGCTTGGATCATCAAATGAAGATAGACAGAAGAATTGAACCACCACTGATTTAATTTAGGAAGGGAATACAATACAAAATAAATCAACAGAAACCTGCTACACTGTTTACTTTTTGGCCCAGATTTATCTATAATGACAGTGGTTCGATAAGTTTCTCAGTGTGGCATTTACTCACACACTAGATCCCCTGACAATTTGAAAGCTAAATAAGAGTAGGTCATAGTACTGCTGTCAGGGGGAGAAATTTCCCTTGTAGCATACTGGCTGTCTACATTAATCTGGTTGGCAATGTAAGATGTAAAACATTAATTCATTTATACAAGACTTTTTAGGTTTTGTTGGCTGAGTGGACTAGGGTTGTCTTCAGTTACCTCTTATTTCTATAGATCCCTGTGTGCAAGCACATTTTTCATAAAATATATACGATATGATTAGTGTTGCTATCATTCATCACTGATGCGTAGTTGATTATGCGATTATCGGCCTTTTTACTAAATATTTCATTAGATTAGAGGCATAGATGGAAAAATAGAAAACCATATTTATTCAAAATCCAGCCTATGGCTTGTGTTTTAATTTGGCAGTTGTTTTTTTCAGAAATACAGATCAAACATTTAACACATTCAGCAAAAAGTGAATTAAATAACTAATAAGAGAAACTTGTTAATCCAAATGTATGAGAAAGTCTGAGATCATCTAATATCTATTTTTTCGTGCTACCTTTTTTACTAAAAAAGTAAAATGGAAGTTTTACAGTGCTTTTATATGAGATTTTTATCGTGTGAAACACAATGGAGATTTCATCAAGATTTTTTTTTTTTAATGTGGATTTCCTTCACAAATAGTTAAAAATATTATTGGGTGCAAATTTACGAATGCTTTGGTGTGGTGAGTATTGTGATAAAGTTAATCAATGTATATTACCAGATTCCTATTCATTACCGATTGTCATAAAATTTCCAGAAAATGATTAGTAATCGGCTAAAGTAGTCACAGTTTCTGAAGCATAAATGCCCAAATGAAATTTAGGATGCATTGTAACACTAGTTTAGTATAGAATACATTCAAAGAGAGAATACAATCAGGAGCCAGTGGTTGACCTGAACCCCAGGTGATTGACACTGAAGAAGAAAGAGATTGTTTTACTACAGCATGTTGATATCCACAAGATTATTGAATAATTGTGTGTTTATTAAGATTGATATATGGACAAGTATCTTATTACATCTGATTATTATCTATAGAAATCAAGATAAATCATTTAATAAATCAAAAAAATTTCTTATAGAACAGTTCTTTGTTAATCTTATTTGTTTGTTTATAATCTGTAAATCAATGTCACTGATGTATTACATTTTCTAGTTAACGGGTCATTACTGGGTCTTTTAAAACAGATCAAAGTCAGATTTGTAATTAAATTCAAAGTGATTATAACCATTTCTTTTAACAACAATAAATATACCACATTTTTCAGTGCACATAGACTAAACACAGAATCTAATGTACTTATGGTGTTCTGAAGAATATAATTCTTTACACTATAATAGATACCAGAAGAGGAAGTTTTAAGTTGAGATTTTAAAGATTTCCTTTGAATTATCTTGTCTGATATCTACCGAAGGTTATTCCATAAATAATAGCAAAAGACTCACTTTCTGATTTCTAAATGTACTGCTGAAATTTGTAATAGATTTATCACATGATCTGGGCTGTAAGGTTGTTTGTATTGTCAGGTTTGTTTTTAAAACTTCGTAGTTTTATGATTTTGAGTTTCTATTTGTATTATAAAGTTAATTCTTTGTGTGATTGGAAGGCAGTGGAGAATATAAAGGGTTGGTGATATGTTGTTGCATTTCTTGGTCTTCTGAAAATAAATCTGGATGTTCTTCATTGTAATCTCTCCAAATTAACAATGCAATAGGTTCCTTTGATCTCTAACTGCATTGGTATTTATTCAAAGGATAGTTAAATTAATCCTAGGATGCTTTCATTGTATCTTGCTCAATGAAAAATCAACTTTAAATTGATAATATAAACATTTGTATGAATAATCCACATGACATACATGGCATTTATTTGACTCAACCAATCTGTAATCCTTCCAGTAGGATTTAACATATGTACATTAAATGAAAAGCAAAGAAATACTGCTTTAAAAAAATGAATATATTGGAATTAAATTACAGCATATTTGATGGTCGTATTTATTTGTTCAGAAACTGATACACAGATAATAAAATTATATTCTATATGCTGTGATTGGAAAAAATACAAATTTACAATTGAGGCAATTAAAGTTGTTTAATATTCTCTTAGGCATAAGAGTAACCGAGCAAAATTATGTTATTATCTAAAACGTACTAGATAAGTGTCGTATAGGTGTTTTATTGGACAAGGAATTAGGCCACAAGTTCTACTACACGAAATTGTAACAATTATCTCAAATTTCCTTGGTCAAAGTCATGTGGGTTTTATTTTGAACTCAAAATTAAATCAAATCAAATGGAAATTTAAAGCCAGTCATCCATCACTTTGTGACATGTTGGTCTATGTATTTGGGCAAAGAAGAATCTCTGGATTTTTCAAGCTTAGCTCACAGCACCTGTAGGGGGGAGGGGGGTTGACAAATAAAGTACATGTTGTGTTCATGTAACAGCTTCCTTAATTTGGTACCCAGACAATATATTCTTTTCCCTAACATTTGCAAACCATTGTGAAAAATACTATATTATTAGTCTCAAATAATGGAAGTATTGTTGAGACGAGAAGCTAAATTCTATCACCGTCTTGGTATCCCCAGTGGTTTCATTCCGTTCTACTCCACTAACCCCTGGGTTAATCTATGGGGGAGACACGTTTCAAGTTATCCACCCTTGATGATGATGATTGTGCTATTTTTATTGACCAATCCCATAAATTTATTATTTGAAAAGGAAGTGACTCTCATTGGACAATGTTAGGAGTTAGCCTATTCTAAATGCGTAATTATTAACAACCAATTATATATTATGTTAATGAAGACCAGACATTCATATATTAATGTAAGGTCATTAGTTTTATTGAGAATCGTTCGTTCGTTCGTTCGTTCCTGGAATTTTATTTCCACATGATATTGTAGACAAGTTATTGTGAATCAATTTGCCAAGTATAATTTCAATAATAATAAACATAACAGAATGACATATTTCAGACAAAGAACGAATCGTAATAATAATAACAAAAGTCAAACATATAGATGTTATAAATCAGCAACACTTACTACAGATTTTGATAATATAATTAAATATAAATAAATTATAAATATATACATTATTTACATAAATTATTCAGTAAATGGACATGAATATGGTTATCTACCCTTATAAAAACGAAGGCGAAACGATTGGTTTGTAAACTGTTTTCTGATTGGTTCGTAGACTGTAGATACAATCAAGGCCAGTACAGATAAATTGATATCGTGGAAACCCTATGGATTAACCCAGGGTATAGTGGAGTAGAACAGAATGAGACCACTGGGGAAACCAAGGATGCATATTGTCTGGTGTTAGTTCTTTGTACTAAATATATAAAAGAACTAAAGACGAAGTAGTTGTAGTCATATTTCTTTTGTAATAGCTAGATACAGCAAATTAGTGTTGACTCTGCAGACACTTGTTAAGATTTAATGATTTCACACAAAACACATTTCTTTTTATCAATTGCTTCTGGTATTAGATTGTTCTTTTATAGAAGAGTTAAACATTTCATCTTTTTAATATCAGATTTCTATCAAAAACATTTGATATAATTTTGAAGATTTTATATCTTAAAGTCGCTGATCTTCATTTGCATTTTTCAGACAATATTTCACAGCATAATCCATAGTGAAATGTATACTCAAAACAAAATCAAAATGTTGTTTGTAGATAATTTCTCAGTTTGGATTTGGGTGGATCAAAAAGACACCCATCAAAAGATTTTAGCAAAGTCTATGAGCTTTATATCGTCTGCAGAGGATGCCGAATATTGACAAATTTCCAATTCATCATATCTTTGTAAACGTTCAAAGGGAGTGAACCGTATTTTTAGGACTGAGATTCAACTTTCACAATATTGTAGTTTGCAAGTCCCTCGAATGATGATCAGCGATTTTAAAGAACACATAATCATGATTTTCTGTTACTTAGTTTGAAAACATCATGGCGGTCTTTCAAAAAAAAAAATCAGTGGATAGAGACAAACAATTTCATACAGAACAATAACTCAGCGTCTAATTGAAGGGAAGGTGATTTAATGCTGTGTATAGTTTCATTACATCTTTAACTTGACTTTGTTTGATAATGACCGGGGTCACGGTGGCTAAGTGGATAAGATGCTGGCTCGCTAGCCTTGAGATCCCGTGTACACATTGGCATGCACATAAAAGATCACTTGACAGTTGGAATTCAATATAAGAGTAGGCCGTAGTGCATTTCATTCGATCGATAATGAACACTTCCTGCTTAGGTTATGCAGAGTACGTTGTCCATAATTTGTTTGCGGAAAAGATAAATGTACAAACAATTTAAGCTAATTATTTTGATATTACCTGTAAAGAATGAATCTTGATGAATTAAACATATGTGATTGCTTCTGATAAACTAGATTTGTTAATGGAAATGCTTTTGTTTTTCAGGTGGCCGTAATATGACAATCAACTTACAATCTCGTACAGGTCATACCAATATGGAGGCTGTAGTAGGAATGTTGGTCTTCTGTCAGTTTTGGTTCTGGTACCCTCTAACTCACTTCCTCTCTTTAGCTTTTACACCTACAACTCTCATTGGTCTTAATGCAGATTTAAAGGTACATATTTTTAAAAATGAATCTGTATTTAAGGGTAAGCCTTATGCGCATTTTTCAAAAAATGAATATGAGCTTGTAATTTCCCCAAAATAATTTACTAAACTTTATTATTAAACTGATTTATTAAATATTATGAGTGGTTAGGTTAATATCCAATTGGTTTCATTGTCTTCATTTTCAGATGCCTAAACTTGAATTCAGGTCTAATGCTAAACCATCAACATTTGCCTACATCCCACCACTAGAAGAGAAAAAAGACAAGGCTAAGGAGAAGGTAGAAACAGCCGTTCTGAGTATTACAGCTAAACAGAAGAAAAAAGATGCTGAGAAAAAGAAAGAAGAAAAGGAAGAAAAAATGGATGTTGTAAGTTGATTTTTGTGTCCGAGGTCATAAATTGTGGTTCTATTTTCATCACATATAGGCTACCATTTCTTCTCAGAACTACAAAATTTACATGAAATGTAGAATGTTAATTTTGATTGGATTTTTAATTTCACGTTTTACAATTTACAATGAATTCATGTGTGACTTTTACATTGTAATCGGTGACTTTAGGGTAAATCTCAATGGTGAGTTTATCATTGGAGAGAACCTAGTGGAATAAGAAGTGTGTTGGGCTGGATCCTGAAATTTTTACATTCAATCCATCATATTTTTATACCATTATTGGATGTTTGAAGATTGAACAATCTAACATGAAAGACCATGACTTACATCATCTCTGTCTTCACAATACAATGTTATGTAACCGTATATTCTTTACAGGATGAAGAAAAGAAACCAGAAGAAGTTAAGAAAGAGGACAGTAAAAAGAAGGACAGTGATGTTAAGAAAGAAGATGGAAAGAAGAAAGATGGTGATGGAAAGAAGGATGGTGAGAAAGATGTAGAAAAAGAAGTAGAAAAGAAAAAAGAACCTGAACCAAGTTTTGAGATGTTGTCAAATCCAGCTAGAACAATGAAAGCTCAGGTTATTACATTTACATGTAATTTAAAAGTTTGTAATGACAAAAGTATAACTAAAGTAACATCTTTTCTATAGTCAATTTTTAGACCATTTTCGTTCAATGGAAAGCTCAGACAGTTATTTTTGATTTTTTAGTTGGCTCTATTTTTTGTAAAAATTGAATTCAGATGAACTAAATTTCACTGTTGTTACCATTAATTTAATCAATAATAAAAATATAGCACGATTGATCGTAAGGCAAATTAAAATTCAAAGTCCTACAACTAGACTAGAAGTATATAATATGGAGAAATATTCACGTTTTAGATAATTTTGAAAATGTTGTATTTAATTTTAGTTAAAAGTTTTGTCAATGGCAGATGAATCACGCTACAGACCTGTTAAAGAGGTGAGTTGATAGTTGTAGAATAAAAACAGAATTAGCAACTTAGTGTACTTACCTGCTAAAATAATGAATATGTGTTAAATGTACATAAGATATTTATATTTTGTTTGGTAGAAGAGGACCATGTCTGTTGAATTTATTTACTACCATTGTTTTTTATTAGAAACGCAATATTTCTTCCCATAACAAATTACTGTAGTAATATTTATTGGAATACTTTCTCTGCATAATTCACAAATTCTTCTGAACACTCAACAGTCTGAAGTTATACTGCCCTCCCTTCCTCTCTCCTACTCCTGTTTACTTCAAAATCATGAAATCTTGTGGACTTTATACTGGACAAAGTTTTGAGTGGAATTTTCAAAACTTGAGTTGTAAAGTGGTGGACACTCTAGCCGAATGATTCAGCCTAATCAATCGGCGTTGAAATTTGCCTAGTGTGTCCACTGTCATTCGGCCGAATGTTTGATATATTCGCCTTGTGTGTGCGCTTCACCGAAGCATTCGCCCGATTGTAGAATTCATTAGTAAATCACCACTTATCATCCATCCATATCAAGAAGTCATGTGATTGTTTGAAACATGGTTGCCGCCATGTTTAATCATGCGACGTGAAAGGTGATGCAATCGACTGGTGAATTGGATGAAGGATTCATTTTAGTGTGTCCACCCATTCGGCCGAATAAAATTTCTGGCTGACAGTGTTATCTTCAGCTCTGAGTTGCATTGTAAATAACATAATTGACAATTGTTTTAAAATTGTTTTCATAATTGACAATATAAATATTAGTGTAATTTAGACTCATTTAGACTTTTTTTAAAGCTTTTATTAGAAATTGTCATTTGAGATTGAACATTCACTGGTTTAAGTTCAAGTGCTAATTTCAGGCTGTGTGGGACACCTTCACAGTGTGCCATTTCAAGATATGACATTAATTATTGTATTATGTGATTTCATGTGTGCATTATTATTTTTGGTAGGTTGTTAATGGTGGTATTATAATGTTAAAGAACAGTAAACCCGAAGAAGAGGAAGAGATTGTTGAAACTGTCATTGGTTAGTACACTTTACACCAAATTGGTACATATATGCTGAAACATGAGTAAACAGGCTTACTGAGAAATTAAGAAAAGAAATGAAGAAAGTTACATATTCTAGTGCTATTTTATAGCAATATTGATCGCACAATTACAATGTAAATGCCTACCTTTATTACGCTTTAAGCATATTCTACTGGCCGCTATCAGTAGTTGTGAAGTTAGTCTTTTATTTGAATTTGTTATTCAATATGAGGATTTACTTTACAATTCTGCGTTCAATAATGCAACAAAAGATGGTTTAAAATCGATAAATGTTGTGGATAATTATATATTTATCTCCATTTTGAAGTTATTGTAATACAACTCAAAATTATCAAGGTTGGTGGGTTTTCTATTTTGCGTGGCAACACATGTAGGCATGTCTGAATTATTTTTCTACGCCCATTCAGCTCTTTATTTTTCTTTAACCAAAGAAGTAATATCGATAATAAAAGCTATTTTAATACCCAATTATTATTATTCTAAAATTTTATTTCTTAGTCCAACTCCAATACATTTTTTGTGTACCCCATACTGACAAAGTAGTATAGATATGTGGCTTCACAATAAATTAACATAAATTAAAAACATGAAATGTGAATTTAATTTTCAGTGTTTCTGTATGTTATCAAAAATGACTAATAGTGAAAATTTTAAAGTGGAGGCCCTGCTTTATACATATTTACAGAAGAAGAGTGAAGAGTTGAAAACAAATTTTAGAACACTTATGCGCTCACCTATTATATTTCATAATTTCTTTGTAATTATATTTCAGCTGGTGGTCCCAAAATAGAAGAAGAAGAAGAACCTGAACCACCAGAGCCATTTGAATATACTGAAGATTAAACATAGATACCTATTTTAACCCTGAAGTACATGTAAGATATAAATACTATTTAATTGAAATGAAAAAAAAAATAATGTAGGTTAGATAATACAGCGCTAATGTCAGAGGATACAAATAAAAAAAGATTGTCCAGACCATTACAGTTTCATAAAGCTAGATGCTGTCTACAATCATTGTTTATGAAAAGGAGTAAGGTCAGGGTCCTCCCGCAGCTAATACCCCTGCGCACAAGCGAATTAATGAAATAAAATTGTACTGAATGTTAGTCCCAAAATTACCTGGTTTGTGTCGAGTGGACGTTTAACCCCATTTCTCTGTCTCTCTCATTAAAATTGGGTGTAAAATCCATAGCTTGTGTAATCGGAATAATTATTCAAACCAAAATGTAAGTACTTTTCAGTATGTATGGTATTTGAACCAAATTAAAATTAGTTTTCATGTTTATTTTAAATTCCAAGTCAAAGATGATATTACAGTTATGACGCAATAACGATTTATTCCTTTTTTTATTGGCCCACATGATTATGTAATAATTTCTTGTCAAGACACCATTGATATTTTATTACAATATGAAAATATGTTTTTTTATTTACCTGAAGATTCACAATGCAACAACCATTAATGGACTGAACTGATTCAAATTTATGTTTCACTGCCTGACAATCAATCTTTTTTTTAAATTTCAGGAATAGTTCAGTACTTTGTCAATGTCAATTTTATTTGATGATAGCTTACTAGAAAACACAGCACACACAAAAATATTATGATTTGTTATTGTTTGTTCGTGATATCAGCGTAATGTAACAAAGGACAAAGGATTGAATAATGAATTTATGTTCGTATTTTTAAAAACCCATTTAAATATCATTTGTAAAGGTTCAACTCTTTTGTGTAAAATCTTTGAATTGTATATGACACAATCTGTTTAATTGATGTATTGACTGACATTTAGCTTGAAAAACAACTTCCAATAAACATTTTACCACCAATATAGCTTACAATAGTACTTTTCTCATATTTTCCTTTTAAAATTATGTAAAGGCATATTTAATTCAAACAAAAAAGTGTTATTGGCCTTGAGGGTCACAAACATCAAGCTTTTGTCTCCACTGATGCTATTGATCCTTCCAAAAACCCCAATGACAAAAAGGGTGTTGCATGATCTCAAAACCAAATTATGGAGATAGCAGAATCTGTTTGATTTAGTAGTTACATTTGAACAGATGTTACTTATTGTGAGCAATTTCAGATGTGGCCAAACAAAGAGATAAATATTTGATCATAAGCCACACGAAAATTTGCATCCTCCGTGAAAGGTACCCCTTTAATACTGCCTTGCACAATTACTATGATCAATTTAAGAAAAATTGTAGACTTGTCTGTTTTCATCAGTGGTTTAATTCAAACCAGCAGTGTTCAAACAGAAATTTCTTTTAAAATTTTAAAGTCTGACAGTGTGCGTTAATACCAACAATTTCATTAGTTGATTTAACTACGGTATCGACTGTTACTGTGTCTAAATTATATAGATGTCAAGGTTGAACATGTCTTGAAAATGAATATAGGACTGTTATAAGTACCTGAAGTTGAAAGACTTACTGCCCCAGCCCTTCTAATGAAGACTACCTGGAGTCAGAGAAAATAGGGAAAGTTGCTTTGATTCACCTCAAGACATAAATGGAGTTATCTCCATTGAGCTTCCAATCTTGACACATTGATAGCTCTAGCTGTTTTGCCAGAATATCCCTGTGTGATCTATTTGTAATCTAATCCAGTACCCAAGCAAATAGCTAGATTTTAAGTTTTGCAAAAATATTAATAGTGCAATCTCTGGTTGTATTAATATTGGTATCCCATTATGCACACATACAGGTTTTCCTTAAGAAACTCTCTTCTTACTAACCTCTTTTAATTCAAATATGATAGTGTTAACTGACGTGCCTAGAACAGATTTGAGTTGGAGGAAGAGCAACAAGTCAGAGGGAGCTTGATCTGGAGAATAGGCTTGGTGAGAGAGGATCTTGAAGCCAGTCATATGCACCACACACTGCTACCTGGGAGGATCATGCTATATACACCTAGAATTCATGTTCTGCATGTCAAGCACATGAGATACTGTTCTAGCAAAACTAGCGGTTTGGGTGATTTGTTCATGGTGAGATCAGAAACACTTGGGATACCCCTTGTATGTATGTAGTAATATTTATACCAATGGATGACCCGGCACGGCACACAGGTTGTGCCTATAACTTTGAAACCTGAATTGGTAGGCGAATGTTACTCCCAGGTCCGAGTTACCCATATACATCAAATTTCAGCCTAGGGACAGCCCTAGTGTAGCCGCTGAAGTATAGATAAGAGACATAAAATAAGTACCCTAAATGAGCATATTTATTGGTAATAAAAAAAAAAAAAAAAATTCTAAACAAATACTTGACAATACTTACAGCCGTTAATCGTCATTTACATTTTTTGGGCAATCCATGTGCAAATTTATTATGGTACTCAAAATTATTTAATTAATTGTATACATTCAGATTAAAACCAGACCCATCAAAAGATTTGGGGTAAATTAGATGGTGAATGGCCTCAAACCAAAATGACCATAAAAACAATCCAATAATATACATGTATCTATCTAAAAGAGAAAGTTTGTTTGCAATAGGAAGCCAAGTAGTTGAACAGCTTCATGATGACCAGTTCTTTACAAGAAATTCAATGGTGCAATTTATTTTGTTTTTGATGCAGTATTTAATGATGATATTGATAACTGATCATTATTGCGTTGTTATGGATGGAGATCCTGTTTACTGTACATGCTTTGCAGAGGATGCGAAAGGTTGTGAGATTTTCAATTGATATTATATCTTTGTAAATACTGAACAGAATTCAACCAAATTTTTACTGATAACTACTTTCCCAATACTGTAGCTTGCAAGATATTAAAAGCCCCTCAAATGACGTTTAACAGCTTTTAAGAAAACAAAAGCCATAAGCTTACACATATATCACATAATAATACCATAAGGTTCTTCAATTGGTGATGTTCCTGCTCATCAACACCCACAGCACTGCTTCACATTTTGATTATTATGACAGTCAGATAATGCATTTAAAATAGAAAAACTACATATGATTTTCACATTTATAAATTTTTAAAAATTACAATATTTGAACAATCTAGGTTGTCTAGCGAGACTACTCAAGTAAATGATTAATCAAATTATAGAGAGAACATTGCAAAAAATATAATAAAACACATTTCAACCTCATGAAAGGCTTACCTTATTTACTCAAATTAAAATTAACAAAGTTGAAGGTCTAGATTTTACAGGGTGAGTATAGCCATACAAATATAAAACCAAAATGTAAATAAGAGTCTAAGTTTCAGTTAGTATAGTTGCTAAAATGTATTATATATCTAAAATAATTAAATTGTGTCCTATTGCTGACATAGTGACCTGATAAAAGTGACAAGAACAAGCTTATGAATATGGTTATCCAGACACTCTTGCATCAGTAAGTTTGGAAATTGGTCATCAATATTATTATAAAGATTTTCATGTAACTTTAGCCACTTTCATGCAACAAGAATACACATTCCAAAAGTCTTTCACACAAATTAATCACTTTTACAAAAGTCTAATTATGGTGAGCATTTTGTTCAAAGAAAATGAAGGTGAGTAAATAATTAAGGATATAGAATGGAACCACCATTAAGTTAGCAAATAAATACTATTTATAGATAACAATTACCATAGTTTATTACAATGCAATGTTTCAAGAAGATTTCAAGCATAAATAAATGAAATGAGCAAATTAAAAAAGATAATCAATATACATGTATATATATACAAAGAGATAATTACTAAATGGCATTCAAAGAACATCATTAATTTGATTGAGTTATCATGCTCACTAAATAAAAACTTGGGATCTTTCATAAAATGAATATGCCCATATTCGTTATTATAATGAAATAATTATTATGCACAAAGATTAATCTTGGATGGTAATGCATTTTGATAGCTAAAATTGTAATAGGTTATTCAAAGTTCAATATACTATAGGAAAAAGGACACCCCTGTAAGTCTGTATAAAATTTTATAAGTAACAATCTTTACATTCATTAAATTAAATCCTGAAGTTAGATGCTGGAAACTAACACTCTGTTGTTTGTAACTACTTTCATGGGTCCGCATCTAAGACTTGGATCAGGACCATTCCATCCTTGAGGTCCCATCCGCCTTTCAGTGTCGGGTCCTTGTCTCATATTTGGATCAGGCCCATTTGCAAGTTGTTCCCGGACTCTGCAAAATATAAAAAAAAACCGAATAAGATTGGGTTAAAGGTCTCTAACTCAATATCATCCAAAGTCTTCGACATTGAAAACACTAATAATTTGTCAATTTAAATCAACAAATCAACATTGATAGATGTTGTGATCTTACTGGGAAAAGATGGTACACATATGCCATTTGTAACAAGGTACTCGAAGGACGAGGCTAAACATATCCACGTGTCATGTCAAATAGTGACCCCATATTCTTATTTGGAGAGCATGTGCAATAAATTTGATCGATCTAGACTGGAATAACCAGACGCTAGATATTGTCATTCGATTGAGACGTCTGGCGTATTTCGCCAAAAATAAGAGTATTTGAAATTAAGAGTAAAAACGGAAATGATTGAATGTAAATCAGTTTATGTACATTCATATTACATGTATATGTGTTACGACCCATTTGTGTCAATTTCCAGGTCTCAAATACAGGGTTCCCGCGGCTTCGTCAAACATTTTTTCAAGGATATTCAAGGATAAATATACTCAAATTCAAGGATTTTCAAGGACATTTTTTAGCCTAAAGTTACTATTTTTCATCTTAAAAATAACCAAAACATTACCAACTATCGTTATAATCTCATATTTAAAAGGAATTGAAGACATTTGAAACAAAATTAAGGATCTCAACTGAAATTCAAGAATATTTTCCTGTTTCTGCGAAATTCAAGGATATTCAAGACCTTGAAAATGAAATTTTAAATTTAAGGATATTCAAGGATTTTCAAGGACCGCGGGAACCCTGAAATAGACCCTATTAGCGATTTAGCTCCTTTAATATTAACACAATACTTTGGCCACTTCTAAAAACTAGCATTTGTAGTTTTTGTACACAAGGACTTTTTCAACCATCTTTATCACACCACCAAGGAATTATACTGTTGAAATCCTGACCATTCTTTTCAGCCTAAATTTTTGAAACTAAAGATCAAAATTGAAATCAATATACATACCCTCTGAGACTGGGATCAGGACCAGAACGAAGCGTTGGATCAGGGCCCATAGGTTGTGTTCTATATATCGATTCGTAAACCTGTCCTGTTTGACGCTGGGTGACAATTGATCTAGTTGGTTTAGGTGTGACGTGTGTCCGAGATCTAGGTTGGCTAACAACAGGACCTTTAGCAAAGCCAGCTACTGGTTTAGGTGTTCTATTTCTAAAGATAAATAATATAAAATTATAAAAGTCATCCACCTTAAATGTTATCTAAATATTCATTTACCTACAGTTATCAGCTTCTGTCATCATAATAATGATAATAACTCTACTTTTGCTGAATTTTGATAGGCTTCATAAGTTTTATTAGATAATAAGCTTCCAAAAATTAAATCAGTAATAGAGAAACAAAATGTCATTAATGTTTGAGGTATAAAAAGGCTTCATATTATAAATAATTAGAGAATATCAACAATTACATTCTTGAATATATGTACAAAACATCAATATACAGTACTACTTTAACAAACATTACATTAAAACAATAAAGCAAAAAAAAACCCAACATAAATTGGGTTTGTGTTAAATGTCCTCGACCACCCAGATCCATTACTAGACAAGATGATCCTATCCCTTGAAGTTTATGGGTCCACTTACACTAATAGGTGTAAGGGTATCCTCCCCAAACTTAGACACCCATATCTTAAGAGTAAGACACATTAAAACAACCAAGGTGAATCCATTCGCTGTTTTTTTTTAGTTATTCAAAAAGTTTCATCATACCCATAGACTATAACTTGTATTATTTCAATATCATGCTTTATTAGTTACTAACAGTAAAAACTGACTTTGTTACTCAGACATTTTGCCTGGCTTGTGGTCTATAGACTTCAGCGGGTAATACATGAATATTTGCTACAATACATAAAAACATTAAAAAAAACCCCAATAGAACTGTAATGTTTCTACTTGCAAAAACTATATGGGAATATCAAGAAATGGATCTCTTTTAGTTTTTGCCTTTATGATTAAACTGAGTAGTGTATAAGATGAAAACAAATGAAATAAAAACCAAATATCCCGACAATAACAATCTCTTCACAATACCATCTACATTCAATATAACTGTCAAGGGTAATTTCCATGCCCTCTGATTGATATAACAGACTTCTAGGCATAAAATATAATAAATAAATAAAACATCCTTGAGGGAATATTTGAATTGATAAAAGTATTGTTTATGAATATTTTATGAAACTAATAATGATTCAAATTTGTCCTCTGCATGTGTTTTTAAAAACAATGTGAATGATGTGTAAGTGTAACTACTCTAACATTGTTCGTGGGTAGAATCTAATGAATATATCTATATATATTTTGCATAGCTACAAAAATGGCTTGCCACTCATTATCAAAAAACTTGAGTGCCACAAAGAAACTAAGTTGCATGCGAGTTGACAACACATAAAACATACAAGACTTCAGAGGACAACAATTACACAAGTCAGATACTCCAGAAGATGAATATTCTTAAAAGCGAGAAATTTCCATTGAAAAATGTAGATTTGAATTTTGAAACTTTAAACAAGATAAACTATAAATTGGATATGCAAAAATAATTGATCAATTATTGGAACAAATGTGTGTAAATTGAATATCCATGAGTCAATCCATTGGTTAACATAAAATAACCTTTCTGAATCTTCTAAGTTACTTTGACAACAAGTGGATGAAAGATGATTCAACATTTCATTGGTTGTCGTTACAAGTTGTTCGCTCATTCTGGAAAACGTCAAATGAATTAAAATTCACAACCAAAAAAAGAGATGACTTTTTGAATATTTATAGCTCTGTTTCCTACAGGGTGGTGAAAGCCTTTTTAAATCACAACAATAAGAATCCAATCTCTAGTTTCTATATTTTTATTTATATAACATTTTACAATAGCCATCAAAATTAGCGATGATAAATTGTTCATAGAAAAAAAACCCAACATTAACCATTGCTACAACTGCATATATGTTATTAATGAATGAATGAAATGCGCTAGTTTAGCTTTTGATCAATGTACTAATCTAGGCCCTAAAAAAGAATACATTCAGAAAACTGACAAAAATGGTGCTCCCATTAAAATATTTTATATGCACTTGTTATGTTTAATAAGACATTAGTAAAGATTAGAACTAAAGTACCAGTATTTATAATTACTTACTTAGTAACATGTTTAGCCTTCTGCTGTTGTTTTTTGACTGGAGATCTTTCAGATTGAGTAGTCTCCCTTGATGTAGCGGATCTAAATTAAAAGTGAAAATAATCTAACAATTCAAATACAGATAATTAAGTATTTCTTGCATCAGTGCAAGTTATCTTTATTAACTTAGCTTCTAGAGCGTCCACAAGATTTTTCAAAGTGATCAAGGGCAATAACTCTGGCAGAATTAATCCGAAATCGTTGAAAATCTATAAGCTTTTTCGTCTGATGACCTTCCACACTGTGTATAAACTTAAAGTTAATTGGATATTAACTTGAGCCTCTAGAGCGTCTGCAAGAGTGATCAAGGGCCATAACTCGGGCAGTAATGATTGCAAATCGTTGAAAATCAATAGCCTCCTTTCGTCTCATGACTTTAAACACTATGTATAAATTTAAAGTCAATCGGATATTAACTTTAGCTTTTTGAGCGTCCAAAAGTACCGGACGGGGGCGACGACCATGTACGACAACATTTCAATGCGGGTGTATAAAAATTAACGTCAAACACCCCCGGGGTGTTGGACTTCTCTCTTTAAAAAGCTCAGTGTGTATGTTTGCCTACGTAATTTGGAGACGATGATGGCATCATGCATTGTCAACTGTCAACTTTCCTTAACAGAAACCTGGATGCGACCCTGAAGTGACCTTGATCCTGACAGAGACAGCCATAAAACCAAATTTATTAATCTAGAGAAACAATTAAATACCAAAAGTAACTAACAGGTTATTAACACTATGTGTTCACTGGCTTCAAAACCAAAGATTTTGTACATATGACAGATCGTGAACACGATAGTTATTGATTACCATAAAAGATATGTCTTACCCAGGTTTCATTGGCATATTATCATCATCCATGGTAAAAGCTACAGGTTCTAAATCATTTGTAGCCAGTGGTACAGGACTTGTAATAGTTCTACTGGTACTGGCAGAACTTACAGTACTATGACTTGTAGATGCTGAAATATAACAACCCAATGTGGATACAGCAATATCAAATAATCACAAAGATTGGTTGCCTGGCAATGAAATATACGCCCACAGCAGCTAACACACTAAAATCTGATTAAGAGTAACAACTCATTAAACATACATTATGCAAGAGCTAAATCTGATTATTGCAAGTCTTTATGTAGGCTTCAGATGTCATAGAAATTATAAATTCGATCTTTATTTACACAACAAGCACAAAATCAACTCTGCAGACCCACGGATGGCTTGGATTCGGCTTGGATTTAAACAGGATTTCATTGATTGATTAAATTTTTAAATGGCGTCGTAAGCGGGGATGAACCGTTAAGTTGACGTCACACTCCCAGAAATTTTAGATCAAGGCTAAATGATAGAGTGTACGAATCGAGGCCGCATGTCAGTCAATACGGCCTTGATATTATGTTTTATGTTTAGTTGTGGTTAAAATGAGAGTTTGGATGTTGGCATTATACGCTCTTTTGTCACTTGCATTTACAGAAAAATTATGGAAATTGATAAACATCGCAGCTAACATCACCCCAGTTGAATTGCTATAATTATGCCTCATTGATTTGGTCCATTCCTTTAAAACTTTCGCTTCTTATCTATATATTAAAAGTCTTATTTTTAATTTGTAGTAAAGATAAATGTGATACGAATTGAATTGCAACCCCGTCTCAAACCGAATAGGCTAACGGTACCACAGCCATTGAAAACGTTACTTGATAATCGAGATTATGTAGGTGGAGTTAGCCTGCCAATCAAACGATCGGCTATTCTCGGAGACGGTGAAGAGAGAGTTGACTCCTATTTCTAGTCAAAAATTACAATGGCTTTGTTCAGAATAAAGTAATTTGACTGAAATTTTCAATATATTCTTCTTTTATCATCTATTTTTGAACTGTTAATAGCAAGAATGGCCAACTCTCTATTAAAATCTCCCATAATGTATCTTTAAGTAATAATCAGAAAATCATTAGAATTTGTTTGGCCCATGCTAAAGTTTAGTATACAAAACATTTAATATCATGGATTTAGCTGTTCGAATTATCAAAAATCATTGAAAATCATCTCAAGACCTTAAACTCTGTGTATCAATTTAAAGTCAATCGAAACGATTATATATAGGCATAAACACAGCATATAAATATAAAATCAATCAGATGATAACTATAGTCTCTAAAGCAACCATATGGTTTTTCAAAGTGTGCAAGGGTCATAATTCTGGCAGTAATTATCATAAATCATTGAAAATCAATAGATTTCTTCGTCTGAAGACTTTACACACTGTGTATAAATTTAAAGTCAATCGGATATTAACTTTAGCCTCTAGAGCATCCAAACTACTTTTCAAAGTGATCCAGGGCCATAACTATGACAGTAATTATTGGCAATCATTGAAAATCAATAAGCTTCTTCATCTCATGAGCTATAAACACTGTGTATATATTTAAAGTCAATCGGATATTAACTTTGCTTGTAGACGCCAGACGGACGGACAGGGGCAACGACAATATACAACCACATTTCAACGTGGGCCTATAAAAACCCTGCACTTCTATCCCATAGAAGTGTTAATATGCTTAAATAGCCAGTAGATGGTCCACAAACTTTTAAAAAGTGACCAAGAGGAATGATTTTTAAAAAAATTATCACATAAAGACTTTGTACCGGTATAAATAAATCGCAAGTCAATAGAAAAATAAAATTAGCATTTTGAGCATTCAGAAGCTTTTTTTAAAGTGGTCAAGAACCATAACTCTGGAAGTAATCGGAAATCATTGAAATGTGCTTCTGTGTATAAATTTCAAGTCTATCAATTAATGAATTTAGCTTCTATAGTGAGTGTCTAGACAGACAGATTGAAGTATAGACAGAGGTCTTTAATAAAATGATATATTTCTTTGTCTTTGGAATTAATATCGTTCAATAACTTGTGGAATGAGATTAGAAATGCAAGCTGACTTAGAGGCAATTAGATCAGAATTAATTTAGACAATCCAAAAGACTTACGTCTTGTGGTACTTTCTGTTGTAGATGGTCTAGAAGATTCACTTCTAAAATAACAAAAATATTTGAACAAATTATTATTAAGTGGAACAATAGATATGCATAACTTACTTTACAATAGACATAATCACTTTAATTAACCCGTTAAGCGTGACGTTTTTAAAACGTTAACTACCCCCATTGTGTAATTAATTTGATGAAGTGACGAAGAACTATGTACTATGTTCTAAGAATAGATTGGGGAAAATACCGCCAAGGCGTTATATTACGCCCTACACACAGTGAGTGGCAGTTGTCCAGGACGTAATATAACGTCCTACAAATGCTGCGATCATGGGAGAATTCCCAAGGGATTCCCCCAAGTGACGAACTATGTTCTAAGAATAGGTTGGGGAAAATACCTCCAAGGCGTTATATTACGCCCTACACACAGTGAGTGGCAGTTGTCCAGGACGTTATATAATGACCTACGCACTTAACGGGTTATAATGGAAATTTGGTATCGGGATGGTAAAACTGGTAATCCAAGCGTCACTATAGTAAAATTAGTGATCCGTATGGATGAACTGCTCTTAAACCGATAATGTATAATGTTTACTGACATGCTCCGTCAGTAAAAGTTAAATTGATATCATGATACATTGCTAGCATTTGACACTAAAAAAACATTCTCAATCACAGTGAATGATTGACCTAAATGCTGATCTTTTTGAAGTATCAAATTTTACACCATTGTCCATTAAACTCCTTGAAAACCAATAAAGAATATTTACAATCTATTGCATATTGTAAGTCATTAGCATCAATATTTCAATAATAGAGAATAGATTTGTCATTTATACTCTTCAAAAAAAGTAGGGGATATTCAGAAACAATACAAAACTGCAGAAATGCACTGCTGTTTTTATTAGAGGTAAACAGTGTATGTTAATAACAGGCCAATTGCCTACACATGAACATAAACAGTTTAAATATATGGGTGTCTTCTTAGCTGACGGACCCATTTCACTCGCAAAGAAATACACTGTCAGAAGTGAAAATGGACGTTTTTGATTTTTGTCTTAATAATGAGTAATTGCTCCACCAATCCTCAGACATTCAGCAATTCATCGTGGCATGCTCCTAATCAACCCTACAATCACGATTTGGTGCAATCTGACCCACTCCTCTTGCAGTGCCACGGCCAATTCCTGCAGTGTTTTGTCGGTTGACGTTGACGTTGACGAACACGTCTCCCGATCAAATTTTAAAAACGTAACACACTAAAGCAAAGATACGTTTAACAGTAAATCTTATGCAAGAACCGATAGGAAAGCAAACACGGATAGATAAACCAGCATGCAGCAGTTTTCATCAACCCTTCCTTGGAAGTGTCAAATTTGACAATGAACCCCTCCCATGTGTATGGTGTTATTGCGTGTCGCATGTGCAGCTGAGTGGTTATGTTGGAGCGATAAGTTCTTCATCTGTGAACATACTCTCAAAGCATGTCAAGTATCCATGACTATTTATCATATCACAACCTGCATAGGTATTTGCATTTCAACATCCCCTACTTTTTTTGAAGAGTATATTTTGTAACAAATCTTTTTTACTGAACAGCGAACACCTCAGTAATAGAGAATAGATTTGTCATATATTTTGTAAAAATCTATTTTACTGAACAGCGAACACCTTAGAGTACTAATGCTCCTTATGAATTGTTTGGGGGGTTTCATTTTACTTTAAAAATTTATATTAACAAAAATCTAGATATAATTAAAGAATTATCTACCCGATATCTTCTATTCCTGTATCAAGAACAGCCCTGGTACTATCTTCATTATATTCACATGCCTCTAAAGCCATACTCACCAGATAATCACCAATATGACTAAATTCGGCATTAAGTTTTCTTTTCACTGAAAAATATATTGTTGGTCACAAACACAAATTACACATACACCTTAAAGGCTCAATACCACTCTTGTTGTAACTGAATAATATGTCCCAATCTTAATTCTAGTCAACAAATTGTACTATTTTACAGTATTCCAATTAATTGATGATACAAATTTCTTCTTAACACACCTAATTTAAAAAATTGGAAAAATTCAACTAAATGATTTGAAAAGCCTGACGTAAAGCTTTTCAAATGTGACTTGGATTTAAAAACATTTTTGAACCCTCTGGACAAGTCAAATAGGATTTAATGGATAATTTACACAACAGGTACACATCTAGTACTTAGAATAAGGCTATTTTTTATTTTCTGGAGCTGTCAAGCCAGCAAGAGTGTTATTGTCCTTTTAAGATCCTGGTACAGTCAGCTTCTTGTCTGCAGAGCCCTGGAGCCAGTTCAGAATCTTCATCTGTCTACATTGGCTAAATGCATCATTAAAAGATCTCGAAAAAGCCAATGAGATCTGACAATCAATGGTAGGATAAGACATTTTTATCTTTGTTGGAAAATCCCTTAAAATCTATCTAACAGCAGCTGGACTCAAAATAAACAAAATGGGATCTTTGTGCATGAAGCTGCAGTAGAGGAATTATAACATCGATAAACTCCCGAAACGCATGTGTCTTTATATGCTAGAGATATAAACAAATTTAAATTCCCACCACATATGCCATCTCCACATAAGATCACCTTTTAAAGTCAAAATTGTTTAAGCTGGATTTATGACAGTTTGAAGTGGCAACATAAAACAACCATGGTTTACAAATCAAAATTTGGTAAAATTGATTGATAATTGTGCTGAAATGTTTATGTACTGTAAGTTGTTTTTCTCAAATATTACACTTACATCTTTCCTTCTCAGCCTCTGATACTCTAACTGGTTCCGGGTCAGGCTGACGAACTGGTGAAGGCTGGCGAGCTGGGCTGGCTGCTCTACGAGGAGAGGCATGTCTGCTAGGACTAGATGCTGTAGCAGAAGGGCTTAATGGTGTGTGACTTTGTGGCTTTGGGGAAGGACTTCGGTGTCTATCTGATCCAAACCCAAGATCTTTCAATTGACGAGCTGCATCGTTTTCGCTGTTTCCACAACTGTAAAAAATTTACATTCATAAATATGATGTCAAAATAATTTTGGCTTTCAACTGGAATATATTTCAATGGTCATTTAGATAATTAATATCCTAAAAATATTTGATTGTTACAAACTAAGACCGAAATATTGACAGGGTTAAAGGATCACTGAAAATATAACATTTAGAGGCTGTGTAATTACTGATAAATCCATCTTCTTGGTTTACATTTTAACCACACCCCTATGGTAAGTAGGAGCTGTATTTAACTTACGCTGTTAAAACATCAGGTATTAAATGTGATGCTTCAGGAAACTTTCTCTGTAATCTTAATGTAATATCATCATTTACATGTATATTAACAGCACTACTTCCAAGACATCTGTAACCATTATTTATTAAAGTTGACTTTGTTACTTCGAAATTGTTGTGGTATCTGGAATTCAAACAAGCAGCATGATGTTAAGATAAATTTCATAAGATGAGTCATTAACTTTAGCCTCCAGAGAGCATTCAAAATATTCCAGGGTGTGGGTATTGCTTTATACAGTTATGCATTGTTTGTATAGCTTTACGGTAATATGTTAAGCTGCACGTGTGACGTTGCACTGTGGGACAGATATGGTAGAATACTAGGGAAGACAACGTTCGTAATCTGTCACCGTTTGTTGGCCTTTACCATACATATCATGTGTGTCATGAACTGTTGACAACTGGTAATCTATTTGTCAGATGTTTGATATTATTATAATATACTTTTTCATTGATGACCATGTCGTTGATGTTGTTTGTTTGGCTAAAACCCTGCACGGGACTCAACTCTGCTAATAACAATAAGAAATCTTTGAATTTCTATTTCATTTGATTGACAACTTTGCCATACCAATGTAAACAATTTAAATTAGCCTATGAAGCATCCACAAGGAACTCTGCACATGACAAAAGTGAGGCTTATGTCCCTTTTTTTACACAATATGGTTTTTACATTATATGACATACATTTTGAACAGTGAGTGGCTCAGCCAGTAAGGTGCTAGCTCAGTCACCAGAAGGGACATGTTTCCTCAGAATTTTTTCAGTGTGGTTTTCTGTTGCCATTGGTGCAGGTTTGGATGGGGTTGTATGTTGGAGTACACATAAAGAACCCACAACAGTGGGAATTCGACTGTAGGTTGAATGGCTGTTGTCCACGCAAAATTTCATGGATTTTACACCCCAAGCTATCTCATTTTTACATTTTAAACATTCCTTTCAAATCATAATACTTACTTGACCAGTGTTGACTTTATCAGATCGGCACTACAATCAGGGAACATATTTCTTAATTTATTCACATGGACAGAATCAGCCTCAATAAACTGAGTTTCCTGTATAATTACAGTATATCAATTATCAGTAAGCCCATCTTTATCTGCATTTCAATATTCATAGCCAAACACTTTTTTGATACTTTAGTATGTAATAGCATGAACCAAAAGTAATATAAATGTACCAAAATATAGACCTATATGATTATGATGGGGTGACACGACAAAAGGAGGAAGAAAACAAACAGATGGGAAAGGTAGCAGGAATGAGGCACATATATTTTTTTTTTTTCGTGTAAATACATTTATTGCAGTGTTGCAATTATTTCATAAAATATACTAATGTCCAAAAGAAAGTATACACTGTGCATTTTGAGCTGCATCAACCAAAATCGTTTTTTCATGGTATACGGTATTTGGGTAGAATGTCAATTTGTTTCACATTTTTATTTTGCTTAGAAATGTTGAGTTTGGATGCAAAAGACAAACTCAGTAATGCTTTATCAAATGTTTTTAATCTAAACAAAACTTAGTCATACTTTTAGTGTGTATACTTTCTTTTGGACATCAGTATACATACGATACCATGCAATTCAACATAAATAATCCTAAGATCGAGACAATAAAACCTCAACATAAGCCGAACAGTAGCTTTTAAACTGAGCTAAAACAAATGATAACAACATTCAACTCATTTATAATTAAAGTCTCTGATCATCATCTGGGGGATTTTTAATCCTTTAAAAACTACATTGTGAAAGTTGAATCCCAAAATCAAATAGGAATGATGAATTGAAAATTTGTCAAGATTAGGAATCCTCTGCAGACTATATAAGCAGAATATCACCAAGAAAACCTAGAGCCACCTATAATATTCGTTAAAATCTTTTGATAGGCCATTTTTTATAAAATCTGATTACATCCAACATCTACAGTAAATTAATTTTTAAATGAAATAATCAATTTGAGGACAATTTAGCTTGAAACATTAGATGCTGTCTGCAATATGCAAATGACGATCAGTAGCTTTAACATACCTTACATACAGCGAGCAAATGTGAAAAAAAAACCCATTATCATTTTGGAGGTTTGTAATGGTATGTATACTAAGCAGCAAAAGAAACGTCAGGTTGGTATGTTACTCTGAATAGACGCATTGCATAAAACTTTTTTTTAATGTATATTTGTGACCACATCTCCAACTTTATCTGAGCAATAAGGCTCCTTCCCAAAAATAGAATTGAACCCAGGAAATGTTCTCAAAAACGCAACCTGACTTCTGAGATGGTAATGTGGTCTCCATGATTTTCATGTAACTCATGCTGCACGTGCTGTTCACCGGGACCAGCTCTATAAAATGCACCCCCATACCCGGTTGAATCATTCATAATACAATGTCAGCAGCATGCCATAAGACTCATGGGGAGGTCCAAGCATAATGGTTTGGGTTGGAATCGGCTGAACCTGAGAGTGGGTCCTGTGGTGTTCCAAAATCTTGGTCCAGGGAGAGGAGGCGACACCACAGCAATGCGCTACATCGATCAAGCTCTCAGACCCCACGTCATACCACATTTCGCAGGCCGTCGAAATGTTTTCCAGCATGACAATGCCCATGCCCACACCGACAGAGTTACTCAGGACTTTCTACAACAGAACAGTGTTAACGTTATGCACTGGCCAGCCCTTATTCAAGACTTAAACCCGATTGAACATCTTTGGAGATGAAATTCAGAGGAGACTTAATAACGTCGTACCAAGACCAAACAGCCGATGGATTGTGCCAGGCTTTTCTGAGAGTTTGGTTCCAGATGTCAATGGTGTTCAATCGTCTGGTCCACTCCATGTACAGACGCTGTTATTGACACTTGCGGTGGAGACACCAGATACTGATGTATAGACTATGTCCAGACTCTAAATCTTCTCGTAATGTCTTGGAATTGTGATGAATTAATCACTAATGTTTCAGCATACTCTTCACAAAAAATTGCTTTGATCCATTTAGTAAGTCGTTTTCTAGAATGATTAAAGTGCCTCTCTGATTTTGAAATCGTACTGGTGTTTTTTGGGGTTTTGTGCTGTTTAGTATATATATATTTATATATATAAACAAAAACCCCTAATAAATAGTGTTGCTATCATGCCACACAAGTTTTACGTACAGTTCTATTATTACTACTGGTAAACAAACAAACTTCACTTATAATGTGTGTTTCAAATTTTTCAGCAGTCTAAATCACTATTTTATAGTTCTTCTTGCCATGTGCGTTTAATAACAAACTGTGTCAATGAGCAGTCATTATGAATGTGACAACATGAAGATGACAGAACTTTGGAACTGACAATTCAAAATCAAGTATGCAAGTTTTATTTTAGATTAGTATTTTCGGATAACGATATATTCTGAATTTAGAAATATTTTGACATGTTAATTTCTTCACAACTGTTAGTTGAAGAGGTGATGAATATTTGTGTATCACAGAATAACAAATTAACATTCCATTCTACAATAATAACGGTTACGAATGAACATGAAGAAATGGATTTTGAAGCTTTTACCATTGTACAAATGATAATGAACAGATATAGATTATCTTTAAGAATTTACTAATAACCCACTGTGACTATTACAATTATCATCTATTAAAGATATTTTCCTAGAAAAGTATTTATTGGGTGGTTATTTCCAGTAAAAGTATGCCAATTTTGGTATATATGGAAAGTAGAAACATCCAATCTTATTAGAGAAATACTGGATTCCCTGAAAAACACCCATGGAGCGCATACAGGACAAAAATGTAAGGGTTTCCCTAACTGGCAACCCGACGATGTCTGCTCAAGTGACGTCAAGTGGCTGATCTCTCAACGTTAGTGATTGCTTGATGTATATGAAACTTGATGGTGAGCTGAAGCGCACAACAGTATCTGAGATATATATAACATGGAAAAACACGTGGGCAGTGGATAATCTGAGAATTTAATTGGGTTTGATATTTATGATAAATGGACAGCAATTAAAGACAACATTGTTTTGTATATGCAATGAGGGGGTTGGATAGCCGAATGGTTAGCGTCTGTCATTGAGTCAACTGGCGTGGTTTCAATTTCTTGGTTGTACGTGACAACGACAAGGAGTAGGGTCGTCTGTCCAACCTCGTGGGTTTTCTCTGGGTCCTTCGGTTTCTTCCCACTGCTAAAGACCCATACGCGCAAGAAATTTATTGAAATAAAATTGAGCCATATGTTAGTCCCAAGCTGACATAGTTTGTGTCGAGTGGACGTTAAACCCCATCTCTATCTCTATCTCTCTGTATATGTTCATAAGACCTGTCATTGAGTCAACAGGCGTGGTTTCGAATTCCCGGTTGTATGTGACAAGGAGTAGGGTTGTATGTCCAACCTCGTGGGTTTTCTCCGAGTCCTCTGATTTCCTCCCACTGCTAAAGACCCCTACGTGCAAGCGAATTATTGAAATAGAATTAAACCATGTGTTAGTCCCGAAATGACCTAGTTTGTGTCGAGTGTACATGTAACGAATTCTCCTTTGGTTTCGCACCCGTTGCTAGGTAGCGCATCAGCCAAGTCACGTGAGACATACAAGGTTTTGAGAAAGGTTTGAAGCAAAATTTTGATAGATTAATTAGTTTGAATACGTTTTTAGTCCAAATATATCATCAAATCACCCAGTTTGTATGTGGGAAGGTATCTTTAATTGAATATGGAGAATTATTACTTGTGAATGCAGCTGCAACAGTCTGATTGGAATTCAGGTTGGCATATAGTGGGATTTCTTTAAATTTAAGCTTTCTGTTACTCCAAATAATGGGGTACAAAATTCACATAAGGGCAAATGTGTCAGTTTTAATTCCTTAACTCTTAATTTCACATGACGAAGTAAGGTGTTTTTAGCTTTAGACTGTAAGAAATCCATAAGGTAGGCTAACCTCTGTATTCCATTTCAATCAAGAACTACTTTACTTTCGATAATGCTACACAAAAAAAAATATTGTTGTAGAACTATGTGAGAAACTGATTTACGGTGGCATTGTGCCCCAGCAATATTAAAATTGCTCCTCTGCCCACATGTAGCCAAATTTTCAATCCATCATATCTTTATAAATACTGAACAAAACTGACCAATTTTTGATAGATTTTCCTTTTCAAAGATTAATTTAAACTTTCACATTTGTTGTATTTTGAATGGGGATTCGAAATGTGTTAGTATGGAATATTAAAGTATGCATGTTGTTATGTATCATACCTTTTTCCTATAATGGTGTGAAGTACCACCTCTGCCTGTATGTCTTATATCTGATAGTGGGATTGCCTCACGTTCCTGGGGCTTTGAAGGTTCGGGTTGATTGAGTGCCTTAAAATAAATTATTATTATCAAACTATTTACAAAACAATTTTGTACTGGATAACATTTCTATACTGTTCTATAAAAAAACCTTTCATAAAAAGGTTGTCTGTCCTCTCTACATGCATAAGACTATAAAGAGTGTAAAATTTGTCTTAGCATGTTCTTCAATTTGGCAGAAAATCAGTCTTCCCAGTCCTTTTTTACATGTAAGACAACAAAAATGACAAAAACAATACAACATACTTAAAACATATGGTGACATTAATATTTCTTATACAATCAATATCATAAATATATCTATCCATTTAAAAACGAACCCAAATCAACTAGAGAAATATTTTTGGTGCTAAAAGCAATGTACAAGTGCCTAACCTGTGCACACATTTTTTACAAATTTTAAAGCATAGTAGTAATGTAATAATAAAAATCTGATACATAATTGCTAAGCTAAAGGATAAAAAGATTGATTATGAGGTAAGTGCTGATGATATGTGTAATGAAGCGCTATATAAATCGAACAATAATAATATGTATGTATGTAAAGATATCTGAAGACGAAACATGTATAAACCAAAAAAATTAAATATGCTCATCTTTAATTTTCAGAACCTACTATCACTGTAAAATCCATAGTATGGAGTATCGATCCTACAGCATTCATTACCCAGGGGTTCAGGGATTTTGTGAGAAATATATGGGTTGTCAGTAGCCGCTTAAACCTTTTAGTACCTGACCCACACGTCAGTCTTCCAAAACCTGGTCAGCAATATTCATAACGTGAGTATACCTTACTTGTATTGTCAGTAATTAAACAAACGTGAGTTAACTGAACAGATCACAAGCCAGGCATTTGCGGGAGAAATTGCAAAAGTGTGACTAATAAAGAAATCTTCACTATATTAACGCTACTGTTCACTATAAGTTAGACCGCCCGTTTTCTTTGATCTACAGTGTCATTCACTGTGATCAACATCAGTAGAGCATGAAATCATGAACTATATAAATTAATGTGGGGTATTTTTATAAATGTTAAGTATTGCTCAATTTGTAACTTTTCCATTAAATTGTCACTACATTCTGAATGAATTATTAAATTCTGACTAACAATTCTGAACTTAACATATAATTAATTTTGGTGAAAATACCTAATGCCTAAATCCATGGCTAAGAATAGTGTATAAATGTGATTTAAATAATACCCAAAACCATAAAGGACATGGTTACACAAGGAATTTTGGAAATCCATTAACAACAGTACGAGGAATTTTAAATGCCAAATGTCAGCAATTATTGATAACAGAATTTAGTTTAAAAAATATTTTATTCAATAAACTGAATCGGATTGAACAACAGGCAACACACCCCTGCTTACTTTTGTCGGAAAACATTGTTTGGCCAACAAATGTTAGCCAGTCTGTGATGGGCTTAACTGAACTAGGCCTGGACTATAGATGACATATTATGTAGCACTACAGATACACATACCAATCAGTATCTTCATATTAATTATCAGAATTATATACCATATGCGTAAGTTGGCGTACATTAATGTATTTTCTGGGGAATGTCTTGTTTTCATGAACCTCTCTATTAACCAATACACTATTCTTAGGCAAAGATGAAGGCATTAGGTATTTTTGCCAATACTTAATTTTATGTCAACTTCAAAATTGTTAGTATAACTACATGTATAGCATTGTAATCTAGAGTCTAAGTTCCACATATGTGACAACCTATAAAACATTTTACTCACAAGTTTCCATGTACATGTAGATCCTATACAAATCACCTTTTTTCCAAAAAGAAGGTTCTCATCACTCACATCAGAAATTCATTGATGAGATGAACTTCAAATTTATATTTGTTTAATATGAACATGTGGACACCATGCTAAATAAACAAAATGTTATCTACTCTAGGACTCAAATTTACCTGTTTGGCACCAGCATGTTGTGTTAATCTGGGATCAGTCCAGGTTGTAGTTTTAGTATAATGGTTGATAAAGAAACTGAAAAAGAAAAATAAACATTTTGTTAGGACAAACAAAAGTACCGGTACGATATTTGAAAGCTTAAATACACAACCTTCAGTAAAAAAATGATTTAGGACTGATTGAAGACTGACATCACCATTATGGACAAGGCGAATTTTCAATTACAATCAGAGCTATCGTATTCTAAAACACTCTCACTTCATTTGAATCAATTTTATCGGGTTCCAAAGTCACAACCTATCAAATTGCTTATCTCTGCTTAACCTGAAAGGTAGCCTATACAGAATAACACAAGACACAATTATATGGAAGACAAGTTACTTGAAAGATTTATTTCTGGCGACGTTTCGACGTGGGTTCTCTTGTCTTTATATAATTGTGTCATGTGTTATTCTCATCCAGTTACTAAATGTTGATTAAACAATTTAGCCAATACAGAGACAGAGGTTGTTTTCATATGGATAACTTATACAAATGAAATTACAATACTTCATGTAACTTCTGACCTGTGGAGAGTTCTACATTTAGAAACAGTTCTGAGGACTGTTACTGTATATATAGCAGTGTGAACAGAGCAATTTCTTGATAGACAACGGAAACAATGTGTGCACCATAATCCTGTAGGCACTATTAAAATTGTACCAGTGTCAATTGGATCAGTAGTTTTATATACCGTTCAGACGCTTTTTTTTTTAAACCAGTTCAAATTCACAAGTACTATAATCCAAACCAGTTTAACTATTCTGACCTCTTCGGTCAGAGGTTAGAGTTAACTACGCATGGGTAACTTCATATTCTTTATACAGTTCTCGCATGCTTTCGATAACGCACTGCCTGACCCCGATATTTTCCCAGGAATGTAACTTAATGCGTACTGCGCATGCTCAAAGCGTGCTGGAGCCTGGTTTTTTAAGCCAATCCGTTCAGACGGCCAAGATGAACCAGTTTAAAATAAAAAGCCTTCTCGAAGACAGGTCATGAGCTGGGGTTTTTAAACTGGTTTATTTGCCCCACATTTGCGTTCAGGCGACAAAGTTAAACTGGTTAAACGATCCTGGGGTTCTTAAACCAGTTCAACATAAAGTAGCCAAGTCTCTAATTCAGTATCATCCAAAGTCTTCAAATTTGAAAACACAAATTATTTGTCAATTTAAATCAACATTAAAGATGGGCTTCTGATATCCAATACAAAATAAACATTTTATCATTGGTGTACCGGTACCATAATACATTTCAGCGTCATTTGCAACAGTGACTCGAAGAACGTGGCAAGATATATTCTACAAGTCATGTCAAACGGTGACACTATGTTATTATCTGGAGAGCATGCGCAATAAATAGGCCTACTAATCGATGTAGAATGGATGCTAGAGATTGCCGTTCAATTTAGACTTCTGGCGTATTTCGCCGAACATCACTGATTAGAAATTACAGTAAAAACAGATTGAATGTAAATCAGTTTATAATATACAAAATATTATTTATATTATTGCGGTACATTATTAGGCTTATATGTGTTGCAATTATCATTGGCATTTGTGTCAATTTCTCTAGGTCCCAATTATTATAGATTTAGCTCCTTTAAGTGTCTGAACGGGCTGTTAGAGTACCTTTAAGAGTAATAAATATTTGCAATCTATGGCCACTATGGGTATTTCAAAATATGTCAATGATATTTCCCAATAGGCCTAATAGCAATTTAAATTTCTTCTTCAAGCTTGAGACGGCCCTTGGAATTATGATCTCTGGCTGTTCGAATGTTGCTATAATAACGCAATAGAAGGATAGACATTCACAAAAAAGTGTAAAAAAAACAAAAGCCACAACTTACTAAGCATTTTGACCAGGGTCCCATCTAGCTTCATACCCCGGAGGCAGGGGTTGATTTTGTTGAGGTGCAGGCCGAGCAGCCATATTTAATGTTTATGTTTATATGCTAAGAATCACGTGACACTTTATCGACTCATCGGGGTAGCCTCCCTTACAACTGCCAAACAAACCCTTTGACGGGCAGGTCCACTCCGTTCTTTTTTTCAGAACTTTTGAAAAGAAAGAGTAAAGTTTAGGGAATAATAATTAACTATATATATATGCATATAAAAAGAAAGAAAAAACAACAAAAAATGTTTTGTTTTATTCGAAATACAGGTTGTTTTGGGTAGTTTTAACATAGACTAGAACTGCGATGCAGTAATGACGGGTTTCACCGGTGCCACGTTACCCTTGAACTTATGTCACTCCCAGTGCCACTTTATCCCTGAACTTATGTCACTTCCGGTACCAATAAAACCTTTAAAGGGACAATAACACTCTTGCTGGCTTGACAGCTCCAGAAAATAACAATTATCCTTATTCTAAGTACTATAGCCTAGATGTGTTAGATATCCTACCTGTTGTGTAAATTATCCATTAAATCCTATTTTACTTGTCCAGAGGGTTCAAAAATATTTTTAAATCCAAGTCACATTTGAAAAGCTTTACGTCAGGCTTTTCAAATCATTTAGTTGAATTTTTCCATTTTTTTAAATTAGGTGTGTTAAGATGAAATTTGTATCATCAATTAATTGGAATATTGCAAAATAGTACAATTTGTTGACCAGAATAAAGATTTGGACATATTATTCAGTTACAACAAGAGTAGTATTGATCCTTTAAAGAGATTTCCACATAAACATTGCACACGTGTTACAAAATGAACGCAGAATCAACAAAATCCAGCAATTATTAATATCAACTCCATTATCATGTATTAGGCTACATAATATGTCAAAAAAGTGATCCTGACAAAATTTGTTACTAACTTACCGCTAAGTTAGCTGACTTTCTAATGGGAAATTAAAATGCGAAAAAAATCTAGAAAGTTTAATAGTCCTAACCAATTTTAATCTCTACTTGCACAGATAGTATTGTATTCTGTACTCAATTTTAAGTCTTCAGTCAAATCTGTCTTTGCTCTGTAACTTCATCAACGTTCATCCTTGTATAGTCGTTCGAATGGGATAAAAAAAAAAACAAGGTCCCGTGTACAGAATCGAAATGAAGTGGGGGTTACGGTGGCTCAGTCAGTAGGACGTTTGCTCTCTAACTTAATCAAAGTTCATCGGGAATTTTCTAGCGATGTCCACCCTTGTCAGTGGTGTAGGACGGAAGGCTAGACAAGGGACAATATGTACTCGTTCGAATGGAATAAAAAAAACGAGCTCCCTGGTCCGGAATCGAAATGAAGTTGGAGTTCGAATGAGATAAAAAAAAAAACCCAACAACTGAGGTCCCGTGTCAGGATTCTAAATGAAGTGAGAGGTACGGTGGCCCAGTGAGTAGGATGTTTACTCGCTAACTTCATCAAAGTTCATCGGGATTTTTTCTGGAGATGTCCACCCTTGTCAGTTGTGTAGGACGAAGGATGGAGGGCCTAGCAACGGACAACGTATAATCATCCGGATGGAACAAAAAAACAAGGTCCACATTAGCGTGGGGGGAAGGGGTGGGGTCTGTTATTGATTCAAGTGGCTCGGTTTCGATTCGCCACTTGAACGTGGCAAGGATTACGGTTGTCTCTCCAATCGTGTGGGTTTTCTCCGGGTCCTCCAGTTTCCCCCCCACTGCTAAAGACAACATAGAAGGCTTCTGAAAGTGTGCAGTCTAGTTAATTCTGTGAGATAAATAACATTTTGCCACCAAGGCTTATTTAGGTGGTTTTGATTCAGCCTGGACATACCCTTTGATTAATAAACCCCAAAAGTTTGTTCTTAATCCGGGTCATGAGAACTTTGCGGTGATATCTATATAAATAAAATAAAATTGTGTATGTTTGTATGTATGTATGTATATTTTTAAAACAATGAACCAAAAGATTATATCAAGGGATATTAATCTGAAAAGGCTGCCACGTGGATTTAGCCAATTCTAAATGGCTGTCTGTAATCTACCCCTCTATAATATCCCAGTTCACCCAACCCAAACCTATAGCTAATAACGCAATATTTCCATACCCAGTATTATCAAATGTTCACCCAATATCTTCAAATAGCTGCAAACTATTATAATTACTGCAACGAATAACCTCACATAAATAGCTGCATATCACCCAACAACTGCCCAATAAACTCCATATCAAATAGCAGCATATCCTTACAACTGCAAAGTATTAATAACCAATATCATCAAATAGCAGCATACACCAGTATATTTACTGCACGTATCTGCTATAATCTGCAATGAATAAGGAAATAAGGCTGTTCTTTGTATAATATTTTAATCATTAAATACCATTTTATGGGTGCGAAATCAAATAATTCTTACAATGTAAACCATAAATATCACATCAGTCTGATTTTAAATGATCTTGGGTTCTTTTTGTAGAATAACTATGTCAACCCCTCCATGGGTATCGTCAGGCGGTGGCAATAACAAAACGTTATTAAAGATGTCCCCGCTCTATATTTTTTTTTTCATGAAATTCAAATTAACTTTCAATAATTTAGCGCAAAAATGCGTTACCCGACGAGATAACGATTAGTCTGTAAAGGAATTCTAATTAACTACTAAACCTTCTACGCATGGCGCTACCTGACGAGGTAACGGGACACTTGGCGGTTAATTTCAATTTCGTTAAAAACAAATATTTTTATTAAAACATACACATATTTAAAAATGTTTCATATGAAAATATAAAGGTAACAAAATAATTAGTCTGTAAAGGAAGAATTCTAATTAACTGCCAAACATTCTACGCACAAGGGGCGCTACCTGACGAGGTAACGAGATACTTGGCAGTTAATTTTAATTCCTTTACAAACCAATATTTTATCAAAATAAATGTGCAAATGAGAATGATAAGGAAACGTGTTTGGAAATGAAATGATATATGAAATGAGGTTTAACGCTCTACTTTTCTGCTCCATCTGGGCTAATGAAGACGGACAGTCGGGCATGCATCATGGAGAAAATTTTGCCGGGACAGCCGTCTACTCTTATTTCGAGTTCCATCTATCAAGGGTTCTTTTACGTACACGCCATAGTACATAGTTCACATTTTCATTTCAATGATCACATTTTAACCCGACACCACGACAACCCAGCATCACGACAATTTAACCCTGACAGTATGACATTTTTGCGCGACATTACATTTCCTCAATTCATTTAGCTAAATAAATAAAACTAAGACAAATTAATTGATTCTGAATATTATGAACATATTAGCCCAGCTGTGAAATCTATTCTGGAAGCCATCCGTCGAAATTAGGGTCTGGTTAAGCTTGTGAAGGGTTCTTAAATTGCACCAATTACAGTGAAAAACGCGGACATATTCTTTCCATTGTTCATCACACGCACAAATCAATTTGTGTGTCAGTATGGTTGATGGATAGATTTATTTGGCACATTAGAAACTATAATTTGCAGGATGCTGGATCCAGAAATAAAATAAAACATGTCTTAAACTATTAACCCGCGTCGTTTTCTCCAAACATTGTGCCACTCCAACACAATCCAGGGCAAGTGGCTCTAATGATAACAAGTATAGTAATTATTCATCTGTTTTCATGGGCGGTGTATATGGGAAAATAACTAAAATTCCTCTTCCTTTCCCGAGAAGAAAAATGATATGTTGGTGAGTGAGGTGCAGAAATGGTGAATCAAACTAGTTTCGTTTTATAGTCATGTAAGGTATTCTTTGCCGTGACAGGGACACAACGCAACGTCCGAGGGCCACAATTCCCACTGAAATTTATAATAGCCTCAAACCGAGGAGAAAAATAATCTGTGAATGGGGTGCAGGAATAGTGAAAACATCTAGTTTCGTTTTCAGGGCATGTCACACGTTCTTCACCGCGAGAGGGGGGGGGGCAACAAAAACCCCTAAGTCCGAGGGCCCTGAGAAATTCCTTTCTGACAATTGCTGGATTGACCTCTGATACTTGAGCTTTTAAGGGAGTGTGTGTGTGTCTATGTACAGCAACATGATAGCAATTTGTTTAATCTGGGGTCTTCCCTAAAACTTTGGACAGCGATTTAAGGTATTAAAAACGGCGAAAGTATTGCTCGTCTCCAAACAGTATTGTTTACATTGCAGCGGTTTTGATCGCCTCGTTTGTCACGCAATTAGTTTTTCAGCAATATTCTGCTATGCACTGGTCAATTGAGCGTAATAAATTTCGTGAGTCATGACGTAACGTTATATAAACGATCTCTGTTTTCAGGGGCGGATCTAGGAATTTTGAAAAGGGGGGGGGGGGGCAAAATGAAGCCACTGACCGCGGAGACGGGGCACGCCGCTGAGAGGGGGGTTTTGGGGGAGGGGGGTCCCCAAGAAAATTATCCGTCCTTTCCTTGCATCTGTAGCCATTCCAAGAGCTATTTGGCTGATATTTTCGTCTAAGTTGAACATGCGACTCGAAAATTGTCAAGGCGAGCGAGGCATTATGATGGGAAAAAAGACGAATCTATTCCCTAGCCACTTCACTATTTAAGTCTTGTAACTTGTACTGTGTACTGTCCACACATGAAACAATGCTACATCAAGTTTCACTCATGCGCGTCGGTGATGGGCATGAGTGTATACGCCGCCGATTCCACAAGATGCTATCATTGATGTCTGTCTATAGTCACTCTATAGGATTAGGGCACCGTCAGCTAAACAACAAGAATTCGTTTGAAAGTGGAAGCATTAATTAGACCAGACTGGGTCTGAGAAAAGGCACTTTCAGCAGTAAAAAAGGGCACTGTCGAAAATTGATCAGTCATAATTTGGAACAGAAATTTGCATTCATTACGGTAGTGTTGAGTGGGATTAGATCTAATAAAACGAAACACTGCGAGGAATATGTCCTTCGAGCCAGTTACTGGCCTATAACTCCCTTAATTTCCAATTAAACTAATCCCAAACTGTACTGTACATATCTTAACATATAATAAACCAATTCCCACTGAAATAAAGGTGAAACCTTACTGCATAATTATATGATTTGATTAAACCT